ACCGCGCAAAAGCTCACCAGCCTTGTCAGCTTGGATCCAGACTTTATTCAGAACTTCTTGTGATTACTGGGAGCTTAAAAATTAGAGGACTCGCTCGTGAGGAGAGAGAGGGGGGCGTTGAGTTGACGTCGCCACCCCTCTGCTCCGGGCTGGCGCGGAGAGGGGCAGGGCCCGAGGGCCCCCCCTCCCCTGGCGCCGGGGGGGCCGCCCCCCCCCCCCCCCCCCCGGCCGTGCTTGGCAGCGGGCTGCAGGTGGGTTTGGGGGCCCGGGCGGGAGGGCTCTGGGAATCCAGGGTCGCCCTTGGGGGAGCATTACGGGCTGCCCTGCCCGCTCCACACCTTTGACTAGGGGGTGCTCTGATGCTGGCTAATCAGAGCTCAGTTTGGGGACCTCTCGGGACTGGAGAGGGCGCACAGGGATCGGGCTCTGAGCCCACAGCAGGGAACTTGACTCTGATCGACTCAGAAGCAGCGCACATTCGCCTAGGCCCAGACATCTGCCCAGCTTCACTCTCCTGAATAGGAAGCCTGCACTCACCCGTTTGCCTTATAAAGACATGACTTTGTGCTTGGTTTCCAGCTGTGTATGTCACGACCCCAAGGGTTCCATTGCTCTCCGCATTCGGGTCTGTTTTCCACGGCTTAGGCGACACTTTGTGAGTGGTACTTATAAGGTACTGTGGGATCCAGTTAGATGCAAGGTATCTCTCTTAAAATGTCTACATGTTCCTAAAGTGAATCCAGAGCGGACTCACCAAAATAAGACACCAGTTTCTGTTTTCTTCTTGGAAGGGGAAAGGAGAAAAATGTGGGTTTTTTTGTTGTTTTAAAACCAAACATGCTGGGTGTGGTAGTGCACGTCTTTAATCCCAGTGCCCAGGAGATAGAGGCAGGAGCATCCCTGTGAGTTTTAGACTAGCTTGGTGTACACAGTGAGGCTCTGCAAAAAAAAAAAAAAAAAAAAAAAAATTTAAATGTTTACCTTTGTACATACGAGGAGATAGTATATAACACAAGAATTTAAGCCATGTCAGGGTAAAGATTGATTGCCTGGGTATTATGCTAATCCAGATCCTTCACTCTCTAACTTAAAGTTACTTTACCACCTCGGGAATGAACTTGGATTCTTGATCTGAAAAAAATAATAATGCCCACTCACATTGAGACATTGTTACCTAACACACCTGCAGTGCTGTGGTGAGGATTATATGATTTAGTGATTATATAGAAACACCTCTTACAAGTGGCCTACATCTGTAATTCCAACTGCTTGTGATGATGGGGGATAGTAAGTTTGAAGCCATCCTGAGAGCGCAGAAACTGTCTCAAAAGAGAAAGAAAGAAAGGGAGGAGGGAAGGAAGAGTCAGCTCCTTAGAAGCTTGCCAAAAAATTTGAATGACTTTACTATTCAAAGACCCATGACCAAAGCTGCATGTGTAGCTCTATATTAGAACAGGTGCTTTACAAAGCCAAGAGCAACCCTCAGCTCCCTTCTTCCCCTCTCCACAGAGGGAAAGACATATGACTCCTTAGTGTTCTAACATGAAACCCAGGTCTCTCTCTTTTTTTTCCCCCTAAGAAATACTATGGTGGCACACACCTTTAATCCCAACACTCAGGAGGCAGATGCAGGTGGATCTCCCTGAGTTCGTTCAAGGCCAGCCTGGTCTATAGCATGAGTTTCAGGACAGCCAGGGCTAATAGAGAAACCCTGTCTAGAAAAAACCAAACAATCCAAAAAACAAACATCAACAACAAAAAAGAAATACTATAGTTATTCCAAATTCTGAAATAAAATTCTTTGTATGAACCCTCATACAAAAAGATAGCCCTGGGGGTAGAGAGATGGCTTGGTGCTTGCTGCTTTTCCAGAGGGCCCAAGTTTGGTTCCTAGCACCTGTATTGGGTGGGTGGCTCACAAATCCAGCTCCAAAGGGCTCTGATGCCGCTGGCCTTTTCAGCCATTATACTCATGTGCACAGGCACACATACACACTAAAAATAAATTTGAGGAGGTAAAGGAGACTACTATTAACTATAGTGCCCTCATAAGCACCAGCCAGGAATGTATTCCTTAAAGCAGTTGGCCCTGTCCTCTTGCTAAAATTCTTGGCTCACCCAAAACCTAGACTTGCCTCAGTGAAGTTTGTCCAGATCCTCACCACCTTTGCCTAGACTAGATGAAGCTCTACGGATTTGGGCCCATGGCCAAGATCCTCATTCTACTTCCCCTCTTACCCATTTTGTAGAAAATCAATCTGACTCACAGATGTCCGTCTTTACCCTCCCTGATCATCTACTTGCTGGAAAACATCCATGCAGATAGTGTTCACTGAGATGCTCCCCAAGCCCATGGAATATATACTGTACCACTGTAATATGAGCACCTCTCTAGGAGGTGTCATGGTGATGGAATCCAACCATGGATTTAATGAAGACTCCTTTTCTTATTACCGTTGTCTTTATGTCTGGAGTTTGTAAGAGCCTGTATGTGGCAACGGCCCCCATAGGCGTACCTCATCTCTTCTAAATAGAGCCAGACTAAACCTACTTCTTAGAATGCCATTAGCAGTGGCTCTCTCTCTCTCTCTTTTTTTTTTTTTTTTTTTAAGATTTTATTTATTTATTATGTATACAGTCTCCTGCCTTCGTGCCAGCAGAGGGCACCAGATCTCATTCAAGGTGGTTGTGAGCCACCATGTGGTTGCTGGGAATTGACCTCTGGAAGAAGTCAGTGTTCTTAACCCCTGAGCCATCTCTCCAGCCCAGCAGTGGCTCTTTTAAACAGTTCTGAGCTGGGAATCAGCAAGTACTCATTAATACAAAATGATACCTAACAGCTGTGTAAACGATGAAGCTAACATCTTTTTTTTTTTTTTTTTTTTTTAACATTTATGTGTGTGTGCATGCAAGTGTTTGTGTGTACCTTCATACCACAGCACACATGCTGGTGCAGAAGTTAGAGGGCAAATTTCAATTGTTGAGAACTTTCTCTTAATATCATGTGTTTCATTCCCAGGAATGAAACTTGGGTTCTTAGACCTGGCCCTTAGGTTTGCAATAAGGATAGGAAGCGTAGGTAACCACTGAGTTTGCCGCACTTGAACACAGTGCCATGAACACATTGTGTAGTACTCTGCAGTTGAGTGCTTTTAAAGTAACTTCATCTTATTAAGAAAGGCCTTTATCATCTCCATTCTTGCTTGGCTCAAGTTTACAAAGCAGGTGAACAGTTCACTTGGTGAGCCCTTGGTTAGCATTTCAAGAACCACTTTAAATATAAGTGATACTATTTAATAAATGCTGAGAGAACCACTGTCTTCTAGGAAATAAAGTAAGCGTGGCTTTACATTTATATCTCCAAGAAGCATTTGTACCCAAATCAGTGGGTGAGTTGTTCTGGACTCTGTAAGAGCCCATATGTGGCAAGAGCCCCATAGTCCTAACTCATCTCTTCTGAATGGAGCCAGACCAAACCCATTTCTTAGAATGCCAGGAGTGATGGCTCTATTCTTGTCTCATCCTGGCGGTAAGGCCAGAGAGCCCCTAGTTTAAAAAGACTCCCCAGGTGTGTAGTTAGTGAATTCCAGCTGTAGCTAGGCAACAGACTTGAATATAAAACTAACAGATGGACAAGATGTAAGTATATAGTCATGTCATCATGTGCTACATCCTAATTTTGTAGATAAGTGATGTTCAGACTGGAATTTGCTATAAGGAATATTATATACTACAAACTATTTAGTAACTGCGACTTTTAAGACCATAATTATACTCTAACACTGAGACTTTAGGTACTAGGTTCTTAAAATCTGACAAGTAGTTACAATGGTGTTAGTATACAGACCATATCAGGAGGTGAAGCAGGAACAGAGCCTACATAAACTGCACAGGAATGTATTCTCGTAGGACTGTCATGTCCTCTCAACCACTGCATGGGATGTATTCATTCACATGTGGATGTAATTTTGTATGGCCTATGTATACAAATTTTAAATTGGTGGTTCAGTGGTGTTTTTATTGAATTCAGCACACATTTGTTATTATTATTTGACTCCCAGTTCTGCTCTTCCTCACCTGCCCTTTAGAAACTTTTAAAACTAAAGTCCTTAAAGCTGGGTGTTGGTGGCGCACACCTTTACTCCCAGCACTCAGGAGGTAGAGGCAGGCAGATCTCTGAGTTTGAGGCCAGCCTGGTGTACAAAGCTACACAGAGGAAACCCTG